ACTGATCACGCTAGATGTTACTAATCATCCACCTGAGTTGATTTCGTCATCACACTGGAACAAATTAGAGACTTACCTGTATTTTCTTTGTTTTACTAATATTTCAGAAGTTCACCGTCATTAGCCTTATTTACTTGGTGTCAGTTATCTGGTCTTCCACCTCCCTGTTATCACCATACTCCATCAGCTGAGGTTTGCTTGCTTTATTTAACGCATGCAGTAGTTACGCTAATTTATGTTTAAGTATAACGGCAAGGTGTATTTGTTAATTATATCTTTGTCCTAACAAGAATGATATTCCTTTACTATAATCGTTAACTCTCTTTACTATTTTATTCCTCGTGAGAAAGTACCTTTAATGTGATTATGATTTTAAATGGCACAGCACGTTATGTAAAATTCCGAGTTAAACAAGCATTCGGTTTTAAAATACTCGATGAAAGATTTTTTAAATTTGCCAAAAATTGCCCATCCTTTGACCGTTGTCAACACGCTGTCTGCTAATGTTGTGGGTGTAAAGGAAATAGGAGAGAAATCCTGAGCTTCTCGTTAATAGAATACCTCATTGTGCTAAAACTTATTTCAGGGTGTAAGTGCCATTGTCGAGTTGGCCAACGGGTTTAAATTTGTCGGCAGTGTGTGTCGCAATCCCGTCGAAGCCATGGATAGTGCAGCATCTGTCGCACTGTTTCAATTGGTGAGTACTACTGAGGAGCACTTAAATCTCGTTCCGAAACGAGAAATACTAGTCTGTAACCTTATGCTTTATAATTAATACTATGAGGTTATGAGGCTCTAGCCTGCGTATAAAGTGATACGGTGATTCCTCAGTACTACATTGCGCATCCTCTGCTGCGCGTAACATCACCCGTGACCCCTTGCAAAGAGCACGGGCGCATTTGTATAATTTGATGGGCTTTCTCAATCTATGGACGACCTTAATAGGGCCCGGTGACCTTATCTTTTATTATATATATTTATGTAAAAACGATCTCCGCAAGGAAAAACAACTATGAAGTTTAAATTGATAGAAACGAAGAAATTGCAAAGCGTGCACAAAGCCGTAACTCGAGGATCCCTTCCTTACTGCCTCTGATTCCCTTGGTATGACGTTTAACATACTTTGTCGTCAATACTTAACTTAGCTTATGTTTCAGCCACGAATCATGCCGAACATTCCAGGGCCCCGAAACCTTGTTATGCAGCATCAATTTTCTCCAGTCGTGTTTCCATCGCTACCCAATCCCGTAACGCCTCAAAGTTTTGCTGGCCTTGCACCTTTGCCCTTTCAAAAAACTGTACGCCAACTATCACCTCAGTCTCAACCTTGGGCAGTACGCACAAGGAGTCAAGATCAACCCAAAAGGGAGGGTCCTCAGTCTGCTCAGCAAAGAACAACTGCGACTCTGAACAGTTCGGCAGTGCCTTTCATTCCATTGCAGGTGTGTTATTTACTTGACGTCATACCTTAGGAAGATGTAATTTAGGAAGCAACTTGTGTTTACGTTTCCGCCTAAGAAGTCTTGTTCCACTTCGCCGTATCCTTCGTTGAATTTGGGTATATCTTTAAAGAAGTGTGTTGGTTTGATGGCATGGACTAGTACTTCTTAGTAATCTTTTTTTTTTTTTCTTCTTTATCGGGTAATGGAGGCATCTTGTAGTGGCTTTCATTTCGGAATCGAAAATAACAATTTCTAATGGTGTCAAGGCAGCTATACTTGTTGACCAAAACATTACAACTGCCGCTATATTGGTCTTCAAGGTCAGTCGTGAGGGATTTAAACTATAATCTCATGTGAACACTTTTTATTCCAGTACGTGTTTGTTTGTGTTTTCCGACTATTATTTATTTGTAATTGTAGAAAGTATTCTTTTGCTTCTTTTATTTCAGGTTTCCAGGAGGAGTTCTTCACGTTCACAATCGTCACCAATGACATCGCAAGAGACGGCAGTCAAGGAGACTTCAGAACTTTCTCAACTGAATGAAAGTCGACAGAAAGAGCAGAGTCAAGACTTTGAGTATCAAGAGACTGGCGAAATTTTCCCCAGAAATTTGTGTTCAGAATCATCAGCAAACAACGTTTCGGCTCAGTCAGATGCGTCGGAAACGAATTCTCTGTCAGTGGACAAAACAGAGAGAGCTGGCATCCCCCCTAAAAAAATGCCAATTTCCAAAAGGTTGTTGGCTCCTAGTTTCTTCTCGAAAAAGAGCTAACTGTTTTGAGTTATTCGGCGTATTCGACTTTTCCTTATGTGCAATCCGCCTATCAAAGGAATGGTGGCTGTGAACAGTTCTCAGGAATCTTTCTCCGTTCAATGACAACCGTGACAAGGATTCATCGTCTTGCAAGGTGGCAGGTTTGTCACACTGCAGTGTTGTTCCGTTCTCGAATATTAGATGGCACATAAGAGACATTAAGCCTTCAATGTCGCGGCTTTCAGAATTCATGAATTTTTGTGACACAGTTAAAACAATCTGCATCGTCCGTGTACCCTGAAAAAATGCGCGATTTTAGTCTAGGTATATGATATAATATTCTGCTTAGTGGAAAAGACCATCGGTGATGGTTTTCAGTTTTTAAATGACTTTTTAAATGGATGATGGTTGTATTAGAAATTCTTACCCATACAAGCATTCTTTACGTCAACTTGTTACGTATGTAGCTTAAAGAAGTGGATAAAATGAGCAGCTTTTAATTTCCTCTTGGGGTGTTTAGTTGGTGTGGTTAAGCAGGGAGGGAAGCTATTCCTTCAGCCGGAATGTTTCCCAATGGATGAAATAGCTATTCTTTTTCTGAATGTTTTCTCTCAAATTTCATTTCTTGGTTGATTTTGTTTAAGAAGTAAACCAAAATCAAGCATCATCACGCTGAATTTTCGAGTGTTCTCCCAACCTCCCAAGTGTTTACATCAGGCTATGTAAACACGGAAACGATTTTACATTTCTTTTATAAAATAACTAATGAAAGATGAACGAAAACCGTGTTTACATACGCTCGTGTAAAATGGTTTTATGGCCAATCAGAGCGCGCGTACTATTTGAATTGTTTTTTAAATTTATATAGCGCCATCTTCCGTTAATTGTCCATGGCGCTTTACAAAACTCTAAAAACCGTAAAAATTAAAATCCTGAGAGTTAAATACACTATAACTACAAGTAAAAACTACAAATTAAATGCACGCTTAAAAAAGATAAGTCTTAAGATTAGCCTTAAAAACTGCCTCTGATAATGAAAGCCTGATCTGGAGTGGTAGTTAATTCCAGAGCCTTGGTGCCGCCACGGATAAAGCCCTTTCACCATACGTTTTAAGATTCGCTCTAGGCTCATCAAGCAACCTGTTGTTTGAAGATCTTAGTGTACGACGAGAGTAATTATACTTCAATAGGTCTTTAATGTAATCGGAGGCCAGTCCATTCAGAGCTTTGTAAGTCAGCAACAGTATTTTAAAAACTATCCTATAATGAACTGGCAGCCAATGTAAGCTCCTTAGTATTGGTGTGATATGTTCCTGCCTACTAGTCAAGGTAACAAGGCGAGCTGCCGAGTTCTGTAAAAGCTGAATTCTTTTAATCAGATACTTCGGGAGACCATACAGTGTGGCATTACAATAGTCCAAACGCGATGTTATGTAAGCGTGAACAATAGCCTCAGTAGTACTCTGGGATAGGTATCGCCTAATTTTAGCTATACTGCGAATACGGACAAAATGCGCTCTTGCAGGTTATTTTAACGTGTCCTTTGAAATCTAAATATTGATCGAATCCAACTCCTAAGTTCCTGGCCTGTTTACTAAACTTGATTACTTCTTCGCCGACTCGTATAAAGTCGAGGGGTGGTCGTGGACGATAATTAGAACTAGTAAGCAAAAGTTCAGTCTTATCCTGATTTAACTTGAGTTTGTTGCGCAGCATCCAGTTACCAATTTCCTTAACACATAGCTCTACTGCCATCTTTGTGCTGGATAGATGATTCGGACAGTTGGAAGTAAACGACTCTTGCAAACGATAAAAAAAGTCTCAATATAACGGTAGTGGGTGGAGCAACAGAATTTCGTTGTGGAACACGAACAGTGGGTTCCCTATTTTTCGAGCCTCCATGGGAAATGAAAATCAGTTGGAGTAATTGGGTTGACTGTTGGAAGGGGAACGACTTTTGGTTCGAGTTATCGAGAGTTACGACAAGTCGAGGACCCGAGCAATCGGGATTCCAGTAAAGTGAAAATAACTAAAGCTTTCACGCGCTTCACACTTACTCTTAGCATATCTATTATTTCATGTTTCACACCTCTTTCAAGAGGATAACAAAAAATCAAACGATATCAGGTTTCACAGTTCGTTTTTATTCCACGAAGGTCCAAATCCGCTTGGGCACCGGCGAAAAACCCAAAATCACAACGCTCGGTTCACAAACAAATGGGTAATTCTTTGATACGACAATCCCTTTTAGTGTAGGCCTTGATTGTTCAAAGGAATCGCTGAAATTTTAGTCGTCGAGTTAAACCAAATTTGAATGCAATTTTCGGAAGGTTGAATTATCCTCTCCCGTGAGATGCGCGTGCGTTTACTGACGCCACACAAGATGTTGAGGTTGTCCACCAGGCCCCGGTTGTTCGAAGGTTAGATAACGCCATCCTTTGGATAAATCTCTATACGGTGGATAGTGCTATATGTTTTGCTATCACTTATCCCCTGGATAGTGATTTATCCATTGAATAGCGTCATGCAACCTTTATGCAACTGGGCTCTGCAGTGTAAAACAGATTTTCTGTTTGATTCATATACAATTAATGAAAGTAAAAATCTTCACAAAATTAAAAAAAAATGCAAGGAAGTAAAGAATAACAAACAGGGCATGGTTCTTTCGTGAGGAGTAAATGAGGAGTATGATTACCATTCCGAGTTCGTTGATTTCACTTGTTCCAGTCTGTTGTACTGCTTGCTTCACTTTCGGTTTTTAAACAAAGAGAAGGCCCTGGGTCGAGAGAAGACCACCTGTCACTGAATATGGTCGACGCGATTGACGATCCCATTGACTATCTTGGTGAAATCGCCTTCGAACGGTTTTATGTTATAGAAGCTGTGCGTGAAAGTCTGTGTAGATTTCAATTCTTGAAAAGAATAGTGCAACATGATACACACACGAGTACCCGGCATGGAACGTACAGAAAAGGCAAGTGAGGAGGGCCTACATGAATGATGTTGAGATATTTTTTAAGCTTACCTCTCTGGCGATTTTTCTGTTAAGGTTTTACTGATTAAGCTTACAATTCGATTTTTCGATTTGAGGAGAAAAAAAATAGTGCTACTATACATATGATCTGATAATAATTTCTGCGTAAGCTATCCGTCGTGGCTTTGTCAAGCCTCCGTGTAATCGTGTACCAACTTAACAGAGAGGGGATTATGTACGTGTAGCTAGGATAACAAAAATGTATGTTTTAATAAGAGACATCATTGTCTTAAGAAAATTACCAACGGTATGCAAAGACATGTGTAATATATGGATATGGATATTCGGTTAATAGGTTGCTTGACTTAAGTTAGGGTTCTGTGTGTGAATGTGCAGAGGTAAATATGGAATTTGTTGACAGTGAGCTGCAGTGAACTCGAGCGTACTCTTTAAGCAATCATCAGACTAGTTTTGACTGGGCGATCACAGTTCATTTATTTTGTGAGAATTTAACTTCAGTAACAAATGGAGCAAAGAACGTGTTCTTTGGGTACATTTTGTGACATGTGGGATCCACTTACTCAGCAGGTCTATATTGTGGTTTCGTCAATGCAGAGTTTCTTAAATAGGCATTCATTGTACGTTGCAGTAGGCCGGTTTTTTTTTTTTTTTTTTTTTGCCCTCTTCATGATTTTCCATTTGAGATCATTTTCAAAAATGTTGAAAGTTGTAGATTTTTATGTAATATATAAACCTTTTCTTTCACTATTAAAAGGGTGTTGACATTGCTAATTGTAGGGGCACTTTTTGCTAAAGAAGGGAGGCGAGGTGGCCTCACAGTAGGCTTGCTGGACTCTTGGGTCAAGACCTGACCAGATCATTTTCTTATGTTCATGGCAAGACATCTAATTCTAACAGTGTCTCTTTGATGCAAGAGTGTAAATGGGTAGGGGCAAACTGTCTGGGAGACTTGATTAAGTGTTTTGGGGTAATTCCAATAAACTACATCCCATCCAGAGGGAGTGGCAATACTCTTAATTCGTATTTCATCTAGAAACTGGTATAAGCACCACTTGGCTAGGTGGCAGACTCAACCATAACCTTGTTTTTGCTAAAAGAATAACAACATTTCAGGTCAAAATATTTTGCCTTCATAACAGTTTCTTTTGGTGATAGAAGGAACCCTGTGCCATTTGAGTTTTGCATTGCCATTTTTGGCATGATTATCCCCATGAAAAATGGGAAGCAATACTATCTTCAAACATCTTTCTTCTTAGTTTCACTATTGCCAGATAACTAAAGGTTTGTCTGTCAACAAAAAAGGTGCCTTTTAGAAATATTATCTTAAGCCCACTTCTTTAAAAGAAACTATGGAAAAATATATATCATTGTAAACCTTATAACATATAGATTATGAGAAGAACAAAGTTTCAACAGTTGTTGTTTTGGTAAGCATGTGTGAGCCTTTAAACACAAAACTGATGCTTTATGCATACTGAATTACCAGCCTTTGCATTACCAAATTGGGCTGTGTCAGATGATAAGCTAACCTAATGTGTGAGGCTTTTTTCATATTCCTATTGGTTCCTTAGAAAATTTATTTAAAGTTGGACAATAGAAATTATTACACTTGTGGACAAATACATTGAAATACATAAACTACCCTTCAGTGGGATAATATCTGATGGATATTCTGGTAAAGTTACATTAAAATCAGACAAATCTATTTACCCTACTGATTTGTTTTAATGGAGGTAACTTGCTTAAAAACAAGCCTCAAATTTTTTGGCCTCCAGAGAAGTTTACATCATTTTAGGGCATCAATGCAGGAATATCATCAACCATTGAAATGCAACAGAGAACCTCTTGGCAAGTTTTGTTACGAAAAAGTCCTTGAAATTTGCATTAAAGGTCCTTTACAACTTAGCCATAGAAAGTAAATTTTATAATGGATAAAACAACATTAAAAATTCCACAAAATTATAGTGCACAAGTAAAAAACTTAAAAACATCTTATTTATAGAGTTTTGAAAAGAGACATGTTTTGACATTTGCTTGACTTCATTGTTGAGACAAAACTAAAATATAATATGGGACTTGGAGCAAACTTGTGTATTAGAATTTTCCTACTTTTGCAGACAAAAATATATAGCATATGACAGTTACTATGGAAATGGTCTGGCAAAAATACCAACCAAGTAATAACTAATCAGAAGGCTCTGACCTCAGGGCTACCTAGCCATATAATAATATGATAAATTATTTGAATGCAGTGAGGTAAAAATTTTCAGCTTACATACTGCTACACTCTACTATTAGTGCTTTATAAACTTCCTAAGGTTATTCTGAAAGATCTGTTTACTGTATGATGTGAATTATTATGTTGCAAAGTTTATTTTTGAGGACAAACCAATTGGTATTTTGACCACAAGCAGTCACATTTAGTAGAAGGGCCTCCCAGAGTCTTGTCATGGTATTACCTCCAGGTGTCCCAGTTGTTGAAACATTATATTCTTAACCTTTACTGGCAAATTCAAGGGAAATTGAATTGTGAAAAAACTGTTTTAATGGAAATTGATGAGGATTGTGAGAAGCTTTATTATAGTGTTCTGTTTTGCAGAAGACCAATGAGTAGTGGTCTCTTAGAACATGTAAGAGAGATTATTTTTGGTAGCCATGTTTTGTGGCATGCATTCATGTTGCACATATCAAACAAAGCTGTAGTTAGGTTAACATGGATTAATTATCTTATCTACTAAGATTATCTTTCATCACTAGTTTTCTTTTCTTAAGTCGTCTATTTTCATTTAGGAACCTATGGAAGATGATCTCACGGAATTCAATCTTTTACAGAAAAGCAGTGGTAAGAGCTAATCTGCAAGTATATTATTACAAATATAAGTAGAACACTTGAGTGTGTAGAATGCCTACAATTGTGTGTGAGCCTAAAATGAGTGTAACAGGCAGAAAAAGTTTGCTGGGTGGCCTCCTTGTTGTGAGTATGCAATTGGGCCATTAAAGATCACTGTCACGGGATTTATCAGAAATGAAAGGCAGCCCTTTGCTATTGACATTCATTGTGGAAATATTAAAAAAGTTGGTGCGTAATTTAAAAAACAGAGCTTTCTCATGCAGAAACACAAAACACTGTCAAAATTTAATATATTAGATGTTTTAGTTTTGTTGAAAAATGCCATGTCATAGGGCCTAGTTTCCAGAGTCATAATGAAATTCACCAACCTTAGTCTACTAATAACATGAAAGCATTTGAATGAGTTGTAAAGAAAATTGCAATGGATTATGGATGTTATGGATTTTCCATTAGTTTTTACAAAGAAAAGATCTAGGAGGCAGAGGCTGCCAGCTGCAAGGGAAAGGAGTTCATTAAGAAGTCTTATTAAGTAAGTACATATGGCCCCTATTTACACATACTTTTAATTAGTAGCTAAAAGCTGGAGCTGTAAGTTTTGTAACTGCTCATTTTTTATGCACAACAGTAGTTGTCCAATACTGTTGCACTTTCACAGACAATCAGTCGAGATTGATGGAGCACTGATCACCTCACATGCAAACTATCAACTCTGCATACTATCCATATGCTGAACTCATCATGAGCTTGTATATGTAGGGTATTAAGCAAAAGTAATGCAAACATCTTTCAACATATTAACCACCTCTATAGGGCTTTTCCATGAAGTTTGCTCAAAACCAAATTTCAGTCACATCGTGGCAAATATTTTGAGGTTATTTTTTTCCTTGATCTGTTTGAACTCCAAGTTTGGCAATAATGTGCTAGGGATATTAAATAGTTCCTTCAAATATTTACTTCAATGCCATATTTTTAAAAGGCAAACTACCTCATGATAAAACTTCTATATTTTCTAGCTGTGGTTTTCATGGGTAACTCACTTTTAATGTAACATGTGCATGTAAAGACATAGTAAACAAATACATGTGCAACACACTATACTAATGATGGCATGAGCTATGCTGAAAAGTGTCTTTAAAATGTATTATTGTTAGTTTGAAGTTTATTTTGATTCTATTATTATCATGAAGTTATGAAAGTATCATTTAGTGTGTATATATGTCAATTTTGCATTTTAAATCTGTTACACTAATAATTGATCATTATCACAAACACATGATTATTAGTAAATGTAAGTTTGCATTTGTGTTCTGTCTTTATTTTTTGTCATCTGGATTATGAGTCTCTGATCACTTATTTTTTTAGTTTCATGAAGTCAGTTGTTGGAAAGGATTTGACAAAAGTTACAATGCCAGTTCATTTCAATGAGCCACTATCATTTCTACAGGTAAGAGTATAATGTTGTAAATAAATATGCCTTATCGACCAAGCATGAGGGTAAATCAAGTGGTTATATAGTGTTAGTCCAGGTTGAGATGTCATGGCCATTCTCTGATGAAACCTTTTGAACTACATCCTCATTGCAGCATAAGAGAACAATTTATGATTGAAAACAGTTCAAGTAACAAAGATATAAGATATAAGATATAAGATATATAAGAAAGGAACCAAACAAATATGAAAAAAATTAAATACATTTTGCTCTTTAAGCACTGTTTAACAAAGCCAAAGAACTTAAGAGGTGCTGCAAAGCAAATGGTAATGAAGTTTTGCATTGGGTATGGTTTGCAACTTTATCACAGAGACAGCTGATTCATTATTTTTTGTTGTCGTAACATTAAGACAGTATTTTCAAAACAAAAAGCATCAAACAAAGAGATTTTTTAATGTCAAGGTCAAGTTTATTCCTGAGAAGTCTTAATTCCTAATTATAACATATGCTCAGATTTCAGTGTGAGAATCCCTTCAATTGAAGTTGCTGCTGAAATACCAGTCAGAGGTCATGGGTTTAACTCCCTTACAGGCCTCTGTGAAGTTTTTTTTCTTCTTCTTTTTTTTAAGGCCTTATTTTCACATCTGCTTAAGTGGTTTCATCACTGCAAAGATCACTCTCATATTCAATCATTGTCAGTGATATACACATTAGGATTTCAAAGATAAAAACTTAAAAGTAAAAGATTCATAAAAATTCATGAGACACCTGAATTTGCATTGCATATAAAAGCTGCTCAGCACATTCATCTTTTTCCTTTGTCTGAAAAAATCATAAGGATTTAATTTGGTGATGAATGAACATACCACACTGAACCTCATATGATGGCTGTTGTTCAAATAGAAAAGTTTTGTTTCTGTCCTCCTAGTCAAATAATGTACTTTTAATAACAAGAAAAGAAGACTAGTACTTGTAAGACTGAGTACTGAGTTAGATTTATTCAGATATTATGAAAACAAAGAACTAATACCAGAAATTGGAAAATATTTCCGTGCATACCATTAAATAAATCAGTCAATTCATCATCTCCATCAAAGGAGGAAAATGAATAAGCAGCCAAATTTGCTTAATTTAAAGTTTCTTGCCTAGCTTAATTCTCCTAAAGAAAGGGCTAGTCTTCAAGAACAATAAAATATTATTGCTGAAGAAGCAAGGAAAGAGAGGTAAACCTATAATGTGGAGTACTGGTAGGTTTAACAGGAGAAGAATTGATGACATTACATGCAAACAAAATAATGTACAATTCAGAATGGTTTATTTACCATGGGATGTTGTTGAGCACTTTAAAACACTGAGGTATTGTAAAGAACATGAGTTAGGGAGATGTAAGGTGACAGAGAACTGCAAGCAGAGTTGAGCACTTGAAGTTCAACAAATGACAAACAAGATTTACATCAGGTTCAATTTTCACTACGCAATAAAGAAAATCTCAGTTCCTGTGGATGAATTAAGCACAGTACAGGGTGGAAGCTTGTTTGTGCTCTATAGCATGCTATACATGTACTTATCTGTTTGTTCTCTGATATTTGTATATGTACTTCCCAAGAATCACATGCATCTATTTTGCATGTCATAATATCTATGTACATATAACAGCCAGTATTATTAGACTAATCAAAACTTTACCAGAATTATCAAACATGATTGGTTCTGACCAGCTAGATAAGAACCCTAATTGGACAATGTGCTCTTAATTAAACATTGTAAGCTTACTGTGTGAGCTTAATAATAATGAAATAAAGATATTTCATAGGTTGCCCACATTACTAGAATTAGGTGGTTTACACTTAGTTAGTTCATGAATTAATGTGATCTAAAAAACATTTTTCCCTTCCAATGTACATGTACAACTAGTTATAGGCAGTTAGAATGGTTGAGTAAAATCTTAATTTTCAATTTTTTTCTTGTCTGATGGTTCACTTATCATTCCCATAGAGACTGGCAGAAGATTTAGAGTATGCTGATGTTCTAAACAGAGCCTCATGTAAGTCAAGTTTATTATTTGGCACTTCTGCCGTAAGTTAATGGTTTCCAAACACAGTGTCTATAAAAGTAAGCTAACAGATGTCTTAAGAACTCACATTGGTCTAAATATTTAACCAATCAATGCTTGCAATGCATTTGAATGCCTGCAAGGGAATATATATTTGGGATAGCAGCAACTTTTGGAAAGTGTAAGGATTTTTGTTTTACATGGTAGTTATGGATAGCCATGGAAATTCTCTTGAATCCTCTTCCCAGAGCATGTTGCTCTGCTGTGATTGTGTGGTTTCAACTACTGTAACTATAACAAGGGCATTTTGAAGATGAGTTCCCACAGCACTCTGCTGTTGCACAGCTCTCCTGTTGTTCCCTCAGCAGCCTTCCTTTTACCATGACTGTGTTTATGGACTGTTAGGGGAACCCATTTTCACAAAATGTGCTAATCACAGCTCTGCAGTCTGTTTGTAGAGACTAAAACCAAACTTATTACTGAAAGATTGTCAATTTTTTTTCAACTTCTAAGCACTTCAAAGAGGATCTTATATCCTATTTTAAGATTTCTTTAAGAATTCAGAGACCCAGATGCACCACTAGTCACTGCTAATTTGAATTAATGCATGTTGATCATGTGCAACAACACTTTTTCTATACTTTTTTCTTTTACTTTTACACTTTACTTTTTCATAAATGTTGAAGATCATTTGATTTCATTTAGGAGGATTTTGTGTTTCTCGTAGATTCCAGATTGAACTATATTTGATAAATGACCTCAGGAGATCTGTCTAAAGAACATGTTCCTTAGCATGTGACAAAAATCATCTGAGCAGATGTGTCTTTTTTAAATTGGGAGTGTTTTGTCAAACGCAAGTTACAGTTTCATTTTTGAGAGTATGTTTTCCAAAACTACTCTACTTTATCTCAGATTATTTCAACCAACGAGAAGTTATTTTCATAGCAACATTTGGTTAATGTCATGCATTGTTCTCAATAACATTTGCATTTTGTGGCTGTTCAAGATCATTAGATGCACTTAATTGCTGCTCAGATCAAAGGCAAACTGGAAAAAAATAGGAAAACCCACTTGAATTTTTGACGAAAACCAAAAACTAAATGCTAATTAAACCACTTAAAATTCGTAAACCAAAATGAACAATCTGATGCGATCCAGTCCAGTGCAATCCAGATTTTGTTAATGCAGCATTGTTCACATTGCTGAAGGTCGTACTGGTTATTGCAGGTCATCTTAGAAATCACTCAAGGTCATATCAGGTCATTTTAGGTCACTTCAGAAATCACTCAAGGTCATTTTTAACTCGTGAATTGCGCGCATGCGCAAGAGCGAGTTATAGATACGATGTGGGGAATGGCATTCGCTCGCTCGCGCGCTCGATTGGTCGATTCCTGTAAACTTTTTTTTAGATTTTAGGCTTTTGAGTGCATTTTATAGTTTTTGGCGAGCAATAAACAGACGAAATGGCGACCTTTGTTGCTAAGAATAGTGGTGGGGTGAAAAAGAAGCCAATGATAATCTTAAAAGAGTTTTTTTTTTCGTTTTAGTTTCAACAAGCGGCGCCAGCGACTGGCAGGCATGCAAGGATTCATACTGAAATAACAGAACAACCTTCGTTTTTCATAAAATTGTTAATGCAGCATTGTTCACATTGCTGAAGGACAAAATTGATCATTACGTCGTCGCGTGTGTTTTTCCTGTGTGAAGCAACAAAAGATGCCGGCGACTGGTTATTGCAGGTCATCTTAGAAATCACTCAAGGTCATATCAGGTCATTTTAGGTCACTTCAGAAATCACTCAAGGTCATTTTCTAGGTCATTTTAGGTCATTTTAGGTCATTCCTTGTTTTAGAATGCAGAATGCATTTTTGTACTAAAGGAAAGTCTCAAAAAATGGAATTGAAATAATAGAGGAATGTTATTTATAATTGAAATAACACACAAAATTGAAAGAAGTATTTGGTAATCATTGTAGAAGCCCAGAAGGTAGAGGAACCAGTAGGCTTTTGAGCCAGCACCTTTTTAATGTTACAATATATACTATTGTTATCATTATTATTATAGTTAATATTATTATTTGTTACCATTTAATTATTGGTTGAATGTCAATCAAACAATGTATTATTGATAAATTATAATAAATCATCTCATAAGTGGAAACTTAATAGCCTTTCTTGGTATACAACTCTGTAGATTTCATTACATAAAAACTACGATTAAAAAATATTAAAAATTGAAACATTGAGCGTAGTGTACAGTGATATATATGCAACCTCACCAATAGATTTTTGGTTTTGTTTTCTTTTGTTTTTACAGTTTGCAAAAATTCGTTGGTACAACTGGCTCATGTGGCAGCCTTTGCCAGTTCAACATATTCTACAGTATTGGGAAGGTAAACTCAGTTGTAGATGTAGAACATGTGAAACTTTTTGACACCTGCAACAGTATAGTTTGCATTTCACCATTAATCCTAATCACAAAGCATTTAAGCCATTGTTCTCTTCAAATGTTTATTTTATGCACACAAAACTCTTTGCAGATGACCATGTTGCTCTTTTTAGTGCAAAATTGACTGCCTTTTGAAATATCATGTAGTTAGGTGGGCACCAAGAATTTATATGTTATGGCATTATACAGTCAGACACATATAACTGCATACATACATAACTTTTATTATTGATTCTCCTTAGCTAAGGTTTTCAGTGACAGTTATCAATATTATGAAAATATAGGCTATAATTTGCGAAATAAAATGAAACAACATGAAAATCTGTACTTTGCAAAGTAGAAATCTGTAATTTGCAAATAGAAAACTGTTAACAAAAAAAGTCGTAATCAGGCAGGAACTTCAAGATAATCTAAGAGCCTGGGTCAAGTCCATTTTCCCCGCAAACATGATATTTTATCTACAAACATTTTCATCATTTCCACATGTATTTCAGGTCAGGAAATTGTCATGTCACCCATTTGAATTATTTGTTGACAACACACTTTGATTACACTTTATATACATTAATTACAGCCACAGTGCCAGCTAATATGTCAAATTACCATTGCTCTTTCTGGCTTAATGACTTACCTCTTCTTTCACATAGTCAATGCATTGATTTATTCATGAACATAGTGGAGATTTTGCAAGTGCACCTCACAAATTTTTCATTTCTCACTTTCACCAGTTCTTATTATTATTTGGAAGGGTGCATATGCAATCCACACTTGTGGTGAACCGACAGATTCATTCTTCCAGCCTATGGAGTTTTCTGTAGGGATTATCATTTTGCAAATAACAGATTTATATTTTGCATATTACAGATTTCTATTTGGCAAATCATTTACAGATTTCTCTTTTGCAAATTACAGATTTCTATTTCACAAATCTTACTGATTTTCATTTTGTTTCCTTTTGCAAATTACAGTAATTAAGCCAAAACATAAAGTTAAAGTATAAGCTACAAGTCTATATATGTATATTACAGATTTCTCTTTTACAAATTACAGATTTCTATTTCACCAATCATACTGATTTTCATTTTGTTTCCTTTTGCAAATTATAGTAAGCCAAATTATAAAGTTAAATTAGAAGCTATGAGTCTTCATGTGAATATTTTAGGTAAAAATTAAAGGAAGATTACTAGCCAGTAGGTTATTGAGTCTTTTCATAGAGGTGGCCATATTTCCACAACAAATCAGTTTGTTTAAGGGATTTCATTCCAGATTTGTGCTCTTCAAAACACAAACAACAACTGACCTATGGTTAGCCTGACTTTTGCGAGGCATAGATTCTTGTTTTGTCTGGATGTTTTGCTGTGGAATCCAATTTGATCAAATCAATGCCATGCAGTTGTTAAATAAACTTTTGACGAATGCTTTCAGTGTTTTTCTGTTACATTAGGCCACTTAAAGAGCTCCAGTTGTTATGTACGATTGTAAATGTTTTAGTCCAAGGACTCCAATTCTTGCTTTAGGCTTAGAAGAGAAGGTCTGGGTCCTAAAGCTTGGTCAATATGAAGAAGCCCCTTTTGCAGATTTTGCCTTTTACAAAATAATTGAGTGGGATATTTTAACACAACTTTTGCCTTAGGGGGCAAGATACAAATTTGAACAAACATCTTCCTATTACCCAATTTTGTTGGTCCGTGATAAAATCTACTTGTGTTATTACATTATTCCAAATTACACATGATATCATGCGATTACCTATACAAATATTGTAATATTTGAAAGAGTTTGGTACCTTCACACTCCCAGAAGTTTTTCACAACTGATCAAATGTTCAATCATCCCTCCTAACCCATTAAGGTGATTTTCAAGATGGGAATGTGAAGATACATGTAGATTTACTAATTATTGATGGAAGAACAAAATTGTTGACTTTATATATTTACCAGTATACAAATTCATTAAAAAAAAAGAACTCAACATTGTGACTATAATTACAAAAGGCTGGGGAAGGGAAATGCATCAGAAAATATGATTATTTCATATAACATTAGTAGAACATGGTAGAAAAACGATTCTAAATAATTTTTGTGACAGCTCTTACATGCCACCAATTAATGTGACTAATTAGTTAATGTAGGTTATGCATAAGTAGTCAGTAGATGTAGTAGCTCTTGGGATTTGTATTCTGGGGTGCTGAACAAACCTCAAGATACTTGTAGCAAGGAAAAATTTTTCTTTCTGCCAAGGTAAAGTCTTAGAGTCCAAAACTGTTATATTTCATCCTTGCTTGTAGGTTCTGGAAACCTTTCAACCCACTTCTAGGAGAAACATTTGAATTTGTTAACCCCACTGCTGGATATGCCCTAATTGCAGAGCAGGTTAGTGGATGACACAGTCTCGTGGTATTTTGTTGTTATCTGAATTGATATTTAACCAAGTGGTTGTTCATTAATGAATTGGTCCCGTAATTTGTTCCTGTGACTTGTGGTAAATGAGAGCTTGGATCTTAAAAGAAAGAACAATGAAATTAACCTTTTCTCCACAATCCATGTCCTAAAGGATAAAAAAAGGTTGACCTTTGTGAATTCTTGCGTCCCCTTTATTCCACTTTCAGTTGCTTTAATGAAGTCAGTCTCCATTAAGGTGTCTGTTTCTGACACAAAATTAAAAATCATATGAATGACATCTCTATGTGCAAAAGGCCTGTGTGTGACTGCATCACAGCGTTGGTGTAGGCTGGTGGATATATTTTTAAAATATTTTTTCTGACACAGAAAAGGAATTTTATCCTATGACCCCAACATCTTACAAAGTATTTTATGGTATGTTGATGAAAACTGAAAACCAAATGCTAAACCATATAAAATGCGCAAACCGAAATGAACAGGATCACTGAAAAACTGTACTTTTGGCACAAAAACCAAAAAACCAATCTAAAAAAAGCCAAAACCAAAAATCCCAATGCTCGCCTCCTGATTGAAGAGTGATACATTCCTCTTGCTTGCCTTCATCCAAGGTGGCGCTACACAACACTCCTTGACACAGCCGTGAAAGTGACTACATGGAGTTTTGTGGCAAAAAACTTTCAAATGGGCCTGCTCTCCATTATGTCACACAGACTCTGTTTTGGTTTGTTATGCAGCATCTCTAATTTTCATTGAAAATATTGTAATTTTTTCACAAAAAATTACAATATTTTTATTTTGGCTTGTCACACAAAATTTCTAATCTTAATTGTCATGATCTGATCCATGATCTGATCCATGATCTGTGATCTGGTCTGTGATCCAGTCCGTGATCCAGTCCGTGATCCAGTCCGTGATCCAGTCCGTGATCCAGTCCGTGATCCAGTCCGTGATCCAGTCCGTGATCCAGTCCGTGATCCAATCCAATCCAATCCAAATTTTGTTGATGCTATGGTATGTTCAAATGAAACTGCACATTGTGTCCAAGGAGTTGAGCTGCAAATGACATCTTCTGTTTTACCACAAATTACTCTAGCTCACTAAGAAAACATCAAAAATATGTTATTACTTGCATTGGAGGTTTAATTTTTATCACTTAGAATTATTTTCACTCATATATGAACAACCTAAATATCAAAATCGTCCAGATATCTAAAGCAAAAAATTCAGAACAAATTGCTAATATTATCAGGCTCAGCACATTGTAACAACTCGCATTAGCCAAAATGGGGGCTGTCTACTGTAGTTGTGTTTTGTGTGTAGTTTCCTGACTACTAACTTCTCACTAACCTTCCTCTTCATGCTCCATACACCTCTCCCATCTTACAGACAAAGGTATAAATTAGATATAAAGCTGAACTCTCAATTAAAAGTAGCTAGAATGGATTTTAGATATTCAATCTCGTCTCCATCTGTAATGCCATCAATAGCTTAGGACAAAACACACTGTTCCTTTCAAATAAAATTTAAAAGAACCTTTTCCTTTGGCATCCACATATGTAGCAGTGAAAACCAGAGCTATAAACAAACAATGGTTGAATTGACAAATTTACATTAATTTACCTCACTTAGTCCATCCGAATTACTGTCAAGTCGCCAATGGTACAACTCGCCAACGCCAACTCACTGACGTATAAAATTGAGTAGAGACGTTGGTGAGTTGGTTTTCAATCCAGTACGATTTATAATAAGTTAAAGATAAAGAAAAGTAAAAGATCTTTAGTTTGAAAAAAGACATTTTTTTCTTTCTTCTAACAAAGTTTATATGGATCTCATGGCGAATAAAGCAAATTAAACATCGCCAATGACTATGAAAGCTTCAGACGCGAACGAGTTATTGTGTGACAACAACACCACATATAAAGACTCATTATGTCAATTGGTAAGGTTTTTTTTAAGAAAACTTGACTTTCTCGACAAGATCTTTTGAAAAAAAACAATTCTTCTTATTTCCAACAAAGTTTATGAGGATCTTAAGCAAGGTAAACATCACCAATGACCAAAAAAACTTTGGATGTGAACGAGTTATTGTGTGACAACAACACCGTAAAGACTCATCGTGTCAACTGGATTCTAAAGATCTTTTACTTTTCTATATCTTTAACTTCTAATAAGTTGTACTGGATTGAAGACCAACTCACCGACATCTCTACTCCATTTTATACGTCGGTGAGTTGGTGTTGGTGAGTCGAACCGTCGGTGACTTGACTGGATACCGTCCATCCAACTGCAATGTACATGAAACACAACAAAAGAAAATACTACATGGAATGTCAGTGTCTTAAAAAATATTTAACAATTTAAGACAAAAGGATAAAAAAACACTTTAACTAATGGTGATCTTCATTGCTGTGAAAGGAAAGGAAAAAATAAAGTCAACACTTCATATTATTTATTTTTTAAAGGGCATGGTAACAAATCCTGCAATCTGATTGGTTCTTTACCCAGTCAGTATTTTCCTATCTCTGCCCAAGAGCCATGGTAACGCTTCCGTGAGTTGCCAAGTACATCCCAATTTTTGTTGCCATTTTTCATAGATACATCTCATTTTTCTTTCTGGGCAGTATTTTTAAGCAAACATGTCAGTCACTACCTCAAGCCAGTAAATAAATTATGAATCCTCTCTTTTCTCTCTCTCAAATCACTTTGATTGACAGAAAAATATTGGTTTCAGAATGAATTTGTATAAGCAATAGTGCCATTATGTTGGTTGACAAGCAGCCTAAAAACCGTCTGCAATTAATTTTAATCGTTCACAAAAAGTACATAGAAAGTTAAAACATGAGGTATTTGGTTACAGGTAAACTGAACAATGGAACTTTAATTCATCTAATATCTGAAGTTTCTCAGCAAAGTTTTAATTTAAGTTCTACAACAAATATACGCTCTTGGTGAGTCTTTCCAAGTCCGTTCAATTTGGACATTTGTACTGTAAATTGCACAATAGAAACTGAAGGAATTTAATGAGAAAAGGCTGCATTAAATCCCTGTGTGTTTTGGTGGTGTGCCATTCAAATTTAGTTTTTGTGGAGGAAAGACCAGATTTACGCACGCCATTGCAGCAAACAAATGAACAAACTCTCACAACTTCAAAATAAAAAATTTGCATTTACTCACAATTACTTTCCTCGCCGTTTTATTAATGAACAGAGGTAAATCTTTGTAAATGAATGAATCATCGATGAGAGGGAAAAATACTTTCTGTTAGGTCATTGACTGTTTTTGAAGAAAAAATTGTCATGACAGTCCTTGCCAAACTAGTTCCATTGTTTTTCAAATGTTCTTGCTCTTTTTTTTCTTACATGTTCCCTAATTGACAGGTGTCAGATTGTGACAGATACTTGTAAAAATAATGTTTCAAAGTTTGTTTGGAAGACTTTTAAATCACCGTTATCGTTAGGGAAATGAAAATGTTTCGGTGAGGCATCTCTCTTTAATTTGCATCACCTCTATTTTAACTACCGTTTACTCACTCATAAATTGTTCAGTTTATGGAAGATCTTGCCGTATTTACAGCCCTAAATCATTTGGGTTCTTTCAGAAATAATTTCGTCAAGTTAAAAAAAAATATATGTTATTTACTGGCCAAGGGTTGGTCCGTATGCTGAAAAACCGTGACCTCAGTCTTGAAATACTGCCCTTGGCCTATGGCCTCGGGCAGTATTTTCAAGACATCTGTCACAGTTTTTCACCATACGGACCTCCCAGCTGGCAAATAACATATGTCTCTTTCCTGAAATAGAGTACCAAATTAGTTTTTATTTGGAAGACAAGTTAGTGTACTACCATTATGGTGGTTTTATCTAATTAGATTCACTTTTGAAATCTGTTTATGCATAGGTATCACATCATCCTCCTATCTCAGCCCTTCATGCAGAATCTGATCACTGGATTTTCTGGCAGGAATATAAACTTGATACTAAATTTAGGGGACAGGTATTACACATTATTTCTCAAATTTTTAGCCCAGTGCTTTCACCACTTGTAAAAGTAACAGAAATGATAAGTATTGGGTGCACATAAACAAGATCTCTATGCTTATACAATGCCAGACAATAGAATAACCTATGAACATGGAAACAATGGTGGCCAGTTGAAACCTGTAGGAAAATATACATATATTTATATGTATATATCATTTGAATTATGTATGTGACTTTGCATATTCAAAATAAATCATAAAGTTCTAATGTTATTGTTAATAAAAGATACTTATACAGTTGTGTTGGAATATATCATATGGATGACATATGCCTACCTTCATAGTTTTTGAAGGTTATTCCAACTGGATTGTGTCACGTGAAGTTTAAAACAGATGGTCATCATTTTACATGGCAGAAGCCAATCACAACAATTCACAACATCCTTGTTGGCAGTATTTATGTAGATCAGGTGAGTTTGCTTGTTTACTTCAGAGTGATTTGCCAAAGGCAAGGCAATATTGTGCACTAACAAAAGAAATGGAGTCATATTCACAGAACAGAAAGTCCTGTTATTACACTTTGAAAGCAAACTGAGTTCATTACATTTTAATATCCATTAACATTTGAATATCCATTGACATGTGAATATCCACGTATTGTCAGTGACAAACAGTGTTAACTAATGGTTACAATCTTGCTAAAGAAACCTTGAAAACTAGATCCGAAGTGATAAGTTGCTTTAGTCAGCTTACTACAATTTTAGTGCAAAAGGAAATTTAATGAAACAAAATACAGTAAGCTGTTTAGTTAGCAAGACTGAGCTACATGGATAGGGCACAAAAGCAAACTATATATCCCAAAAAAACTCTTAAAACAAGTAGTGACCATGGCCAGTTTTCTGTGGTTTTAGCCTTTCCAATGTTTCTGGGTCATGTTGTTGACTTGGACAGGAAAAGTGTGTAAAAATGGTCTGGGCTAAGCCAACTTGGTTCTTCATTTCCATGTTTTTCAAAAAAGCATCAATTATAGTGTGAAGGCTCCTCATCCAATAATGTCTAAGTTTAAATAACATATATTTGATGATTTTAGATGTATAAAATTCATATATTTGTACTGTGGTGAAGAAATGACACTAAGAGATCCTTGCAGCTAAGAACGCTACTGAAATGAGTAGTTGAAAATAGGACCTGAAAAAAAAAATTCAGGCCCGTACAGGATTTGAACCCATGACCTCTGCAATACTGGTGCAGCACTCTACCAACTGAGCTAACGAGCTAATTGGGGGCTGGTCAATGTGTTGGGTCCAAATAAACCATCCAAGTGATGAATGATGATTTTAGATATATGAAATTCATATATTTGCACTGCAGTTAAGAAATGAAATTAAGAGATCCTTGCAGAATACTACTGAAATGATATTTGTCAAATAAAATTAGTGCTAAGGATAATTACCTAATTTTTATCTACTGTAGGACCCATTATGATTCGACAGTGAGATTGAATATGCCCATTGCTTCCTGTACTTTGTGAAACCTAACCAAACTAAACAAACCATCTATATTCATTTTTGAAATAGCCTATCAAAGTTAACTTTTACCGAGTTACTAGTGGCATTGAAGAGTACCTTTTTCGATTGATGATTAACTATGCAACAAGCATTTCATATTGGTTGACTAAGGGGAAAAAAATAGTAGTACCGAAAACAAAGACCACAAAAAGCTGAGACCTAAGACCTAAGACCTAAGACCTGAAATTGAAGACCAGAAAACAAAGACTTGAAAATGAATACCCCTTTATTTTCTTTGTTTTTTAGGATCTTGTTATGTAGTTTCTCACTGGAAATATCTAGCTGCAGTTTTAATCTTTTTAGTAGTACAGTATGCAATTAAACAGTAGTTTAAAAAAAAGAACCCAAAAACAAAAACCCAAAAACAAACAACTGAAGAACTCAGACCTAAAACAAAGATCCCCTTATTTTCTTTAATTTTGGATAGTGATGAAGGATGTGATCAAACTCATCTGTCATTTGCCCCCCACTTCTTGTGAACTAAGTGCCTTTAAGAATTGTGTAATTCGGAATGCAGTTGGAGAAGAAAAACTCTCCAAAGCTTCCTTGGCTGATGTGCTTTATGAAGTGGAACTTACTGCATTCAAACTTCAGAGTGTCCTGCAGCACAGAAGCCACCACATGCTCTCTGCCTGTAAGCTTTGCCAACTAGAGTGGTGTAGACATTACACAAGCAATGAGGCAGGAAACCTTCCTTCACACAACACTGAAAAGACAAAAAATTATGCCGTTTGTCATGTTAGACTGGCTGCTTTGAAGAGCAGCTAGACCAGCTTTCGTATGAAAGAAGAACAATGCTGTAATGCCGACTGGCATCAGCCAGGTCAAAAGTTTACATCACCAGCTCTGATCTTCATTTAGAACAAGAACAGCTGGGGGCAGCAGTTAGAAATGTCAAAAGGCAGTACTTTTTTTTTTAAATAAATGAGGAAAGCAACAAAGAGGAAAGTTAAAGAAAATAAAGTGTACACCAGTGTAGCATTTTATGTAATTGTTAGCAATTTTGCTTTTGTTTAACTGATAAATGGTTAAACTGTTGCTAACAGAGAAGTTATCAAGCTTTTCACTTTTTTTTTTTTTTTTGGTGGAGCCATAAAGTGTGACCCGAACTTCTTGTCTCAAGATCATAAAGGAGTTGTTTTTAGGTCTCTGTTTTCTGGTTTTGGGTCTTAGTTTTCAGGGGTCTTCACTTGTGCTACAACCAGGAAAAAACTTGATGGTACCTCAAACTCTTACAGATAAATAGATTAAAGTGGCCTTTTATTGGATTTCATAGGAAGGAGATGTTGTGGTGACAAATCACTCAACGCGAGAGCAGTGTAGACTACATTTTCAACCTGTAAGGGAAGTCCAAGAGAGCTTCAAACAGCTTTCAGGTATTGGTATAGCACAAAGTAGAGCTGTATCCTTAAATGCAAACATGTAGAGTTCGAGAATTAATGTGTATTTACTGCCATTTGGGGAATTTCAATGCTGCATCATGGTCATGACTCTTGAACAAAAGGGATACACAAGGGATACAGGATTGTAGATATGGTTCTAATTTCTACACCTTATTGTAGTATCACAGTGTAGTAAAACATCAGGGAAGGGTCGGTTGGGGTCAACCTGTTTTAAAGCTTGGGCTACATGCAGTAGGTTACAAGACTGCTGCTGTGAAGTAAGTGAGGCACACTCAACTGAACTGTATACATAAAGGTAACTATAACTAATACACTTGATAGAGAATACAGAGGATAGCAAGAAGTTCTGATGACATAACCTAATTATAACACAAACCCAACCAGTATGGAACGTACATAAATATTGCTGAACTAAGGCATAATCTTACCCTAAATAAATGTGTTGCAAGAATGTTGAGCAGGAAAGCAAAAATGAGATTTACTATCCCATGCGACACATTATAAGAATACTTTCATGTTACTACAACAACAAAGGATCCTATAGCAATCTTTTTTCAGATTATGCTTAGTTGTTGTTATTGCACATTGTTCTGTCTTGCTCTGTCAGGTTTTGTCACACTTTTCTACTACAGGAAAGTACTTAGCACAATGATCCCCTCACCTTTGTCAAATGGAATGATGAATGATTTTGCCTCATTTTTGTAGTGTCCCATAATGATTGGGCAATGAGATTGAATATTCAGGTCAAATAACCAACTTGTACTTTTCTATATTCCTAAATAGAGCCAGAATTGATGATAGTGTACTCTTTCTAGTAATCTTAGAAATCCACTTACCACCTTGTATTCACATTATACAAAGTGATCTTTTTTCCAGTGGTAACACACCTACAACAATGTTAGGGATTCAATAAATACCAACTTTCTCTTATTTAAAAATGAAGTTCCGGGCTAAATTAGCTACATTTCCAAGATATTTTATGACTGAATCCCTTTTGTGTGGAAAGGGTTGCATGAGTCATGGAGCTGGTTCAGGGTGTGGATCACAACATGTTGGGTATGATGCTTGGAGGCACTATATCTGCTGCATATATTAAGCTATGGTGTGTTTCCCAGGGCTCCAATTAAGGTCTTGTCCTCTTCCTTCTATTCACTGGTGATCTCCCTTTGAGCTGGGAGAAAAGAAATGATCTATTTGTAGATGATGCCACATTCTGTGTTAAAGCAGTGACCTGCACTAATGTTTAGGTAAAACTGCAATGATATCTCTCAAGTGTAATGGAATTTACCCACTGGAAAAGACAACCTATGTACACAGTGATGAATGGCACTTAATAAAAGTAGTTCAGCACTGAGGACTGGACACTGGCAGTTTTTGAATGATAAGCAGTTGAAGAGGAGGGTCTACTGAGTCTATATTTATACCAATCCCTTTTGTGGTCAGTTTGGTTATCTGGAAAAATTGCCCCTATCAAACAAAATCTTGGCTAAACTGCATTGTGGATCTTCTGAATGATCTTTTTAAGGTTCAAAACAATGCCTGCATATTGTTTTAGATGCTCATTATTTAGATGCTCCCTGTCAAATTTGTCCTCTGTTGTTATTTCTTTACCTAGCCATTTATCGTATCTGTTATTTTATTATGACAAAATCTTCAATAGATGAACACCAAATTACCTCTATGAGAAATTGTTATCTTCCAGTCTGCCACATACCAACAATATGAAGCAACGTTTTTTAATGATGGTGTTTGAGAACACCTGTATGAAAAGTTTCAGGGGTGAATTCTACTTTTGTAACATAAAGAAATAATGGAAAAGATGCTTTGATCCTGTTTTGTATAAATTGGCTGCATGCAGGTAGTTTTAAAATCAATTAAGTTTTCTAATATGTTTCGAATGATTGCCCAGCATATATTTCCATTAGATTCTGTTTGTATTTATTTTGTGCTTTCAGTGTTGATATTTGTTCCTTTGTTTTGTTTTCTTGTCATTTGGATTTTAAGGTCATAAGGCCATCACAGAATATGTACTTCTTTGTTAGATTGACATAACGGGTTATGGTTGTTGCTGTTTAAGTTACCTCTTAATGCTTTATTTAGTCCATGTAAGTTAAACAATCTCTTTGGTATTGTCTAGAACAACCCCTGGCCACCTCAAACCTTTCTTCAGAAATGTTTTCTTTTGGTTCACTGGCCATAATATTTTTATAACCTTTTGAAAATGAGAATATCTGCTCATTCACACTCATCAGTGTTAGCACCATTGCATTGTAGGGGAGGTGCTAAATTCGAAGGGTCATGTCAAATATAACATTGTGGGAGCATGGGACCGTAGCCTTGAATTGCATTCTGTAGATGGTATGTTGACTTGTTTTTGCAATTTAGTGTGTCATTAATAAAGAATAAGACTGGCTGCTCTTTTTATAATCCATCAGGTTAAATCTCTGTGTTCAAGGTTAGAGCTATACAGCAATCTTAGGTTATTGTTGCATGCCCATGCAGAATAGTCCCTGTAAAAAAATGCATATTTTGTGGTAAGATTTGTGTTTTGAGTTGTTGAATATTTTGATTGATTACATTGAAACTCTAAAGTAATTGGGATAGCAGAGAAACACAAAAGAGGTTATTAAATAGTAAAATACCAAAATGGAACAAGGATGTAACTGACCAATGAAGGCTGAGTTTTTTCTAGTGTTCAGAGCATGATGTATGTTGAAGATAAGTTCTTTTCAATGACATTGTATTTTCAAACAGATTTCTAGAAACATAGTTGTATAAATGGTTCCTTCTAGTATAAATAAGATGCATGTATGAGTTTAATATAAAAATGAAGTACATCTGGACAAGAGCAAGCAAGTCCATGAGCACTTTATGGGTGACCTCATTCGGGTAGGAATTGTATAAAAGGGGTGGTAACATATACCAAGACTGGGTCTTCCATGGAGCCTACATGTCAACTCTGACCCTGGTTAACTTGGTATTTTGTGGTTTTATTGTATTTTTCAGACACAGACATGGATCCCATTGACCTATGGACAGCAAATACCAAACCTGAAGATTCCTGGAGGTACAATAAAGTTTTTGATATGCAGAGCACTGAACTAAGTTATGATAAGGGACTGTTAATTATTTATCAGAGGTGTTACTGAGAAACTGAGTGGACTTGAAATTTTCACAGGTCAATATTTGGGGGGGGGGGGGCTCTTGGAGGTGTTTTGGGGAAGGAAAATAATTTACAAAGGTGTTTGTTCAAGTAGCAAAGCAATGGTAAAACAATGCCATTAAAAAGTGTTTTCTACCAAAGAAGAATTGTAGTTAAAGTGTTATTATTTTCTATATGATAAGAGACAAATTTTAGGTGTGAAAAGTCAGTAAAATGGACTATCACAGTTCCATGCATAATGTCCCATATTCTAATATGCCATATTCAAAATATCTCTTTTAACAATTGTGGTGGTCATTAGTCTTGTGAATGAGTTAGTCAACCGTTATTTGTGTCTTTATAAATATAAGAACTTGCCAGGTTGTGAAATTGTCCAATTACACAGTAAGTTTCCAAGTGATGTTGGTGAACACTCAATTGAAGAAGCTGGAACTTTTGATCAGTTATACTGTTATACTTGTTTCAATAAATAATGAACTTGTAGCAATTTGTTGGTTCAATTGTTTTCAGATATTATGGCTTCACACAGTTTTCAATTCAATTAAACGATCCAGAATATGGTATGTATCAGGAGGATGTATACTGTAGATTGAATTTGAATCAAGGTTAGACTATGGTTAATTCAGAGATACATTGTATAAAAAATGCAGAAGTCAGATAGTGAGGAACATTTTTATAAAAGGTAATGAAGTGGTTTTTCGTAGCTCTGTTTGAATGAGCTTTGGAAGTAAATATGAAAATTTCTATTGGCTACATTTTGGGTCATGTGTACTTAAGAGTGTGTCCAGGAGAGCACATACCATCTCACCGATTTCAGTGAAACTTAGCTAGTTTATAGGGTCTACCCCAAAACTCAAACAGACAAACTGGTTTCTGTTTTCGTTATTTCTGGGGGGAGATAGACCACCCCCCTGTTTTTCTTGGCCTTCCCTGAGGAAATCGCTTCAAATTAGGTAAAATGTATGAAGCTCTTACTGTGATGGTATTCAACCGATTACTTAAAGGGTTTTACATACTTATTGTTACATCCTTAATGATTTTACGATGCAAGTGTCAGTCAATTTGATCGATGGCTTGTCGATCAACAGAGGCAAATAAATGACTGTTTTAGAGTTTTCGATTCCATAAATATTCGATTGCTTTGAGGTCAAATATCTCCCCTTGTCAGAAAGCTCGAGCTCTAATTTTAACTTCCCTTTATAATCCATCACTTTGTCTCTGAAAACCATCAAGAAAATCTTTGGGTACTGCCGTATTTTTGTCCAGGATGCCTTTTAAAATCTGTGGTTTTGACAAGCTTCTCTCAACTACACCTGCCACACGATACTGGTTCTAAGCGCTCATTTTAACAATTGGCTCGTACGTCAGCGTGCGTTCATCGAGATATGAAGCACGTGGGAAGTTTGGAGAGCACGAAAGATGCGTAAGAGTTGTCTCGGCTACGCCTCGAGCAACTCTAGCTTCTTGAGTGCTCTCCAAACTTCCCAAGTGCTTCATATCTCGATGAACGCACAGCTGACGTATGAACCAATTGTTTTATAACATTTTCAACCCGATGGAAAATTTTTTTTTCTCGAGGGATTTGTTTGCTGACGTCATGAGCGTGCACAATAGGAATATGAAGCACGCTCGCGCAATTGAATTTGATTACACAAATTTACAAGCTATGTTATAAAGCTCATTATACAAGATGATTGATCAAGAAAGCTACAAATGTGGGTAAAAGTGAAGAACAGTTCCCGAAAGATACTGTCGGCCAACTGTCGCAAATGTTAACAACTTTCAAGATTTTTTTTAGGAGTGCAAAATTTCATGTTTGGAGAGATGCATGTAGGCGAATATAGCCTTCACATGGCAGAAAACATTGATTAGTCTATAGTTTGATTATTTATTATCATTTCCCTCATGTTAGGAGATTATGAAGTCACATGTAGCGTGTTGGCTGATAAACCAGCTCACGTGTGCGACAACTTCGGCTTTACAGACGAGAAATTCTGCCCTATCATTTGAGATGGAATATCAACAGCTCCATCAAATTCAAGAACTGTGCTACTATTCCGAAAATAAAGCTAAAATAGTGTTGTCGTTCTCACTTACCGCCATCAAATATTTCCATGCTAAACTCCACCCAACTAACATCTGTAGCGTGACCGGAAGACTTTTCGTAGGAATCATTCAAGCGCGTTGTTTCTGCTGTCTGCTGGATAACAATTTCAGAATATTCTCCAGATATCTATGTGTATTTGCTTGCTTTGATCGTAAAATATCTGCATTTTTTTTTCAAGTATTCTATAACCAGATGTAAATCTATATCTCTCTCTATCAAGTATTGCGGCGTTGAATTACGCGACTTAAGAATGAGCCAGCAACATTTTGACCAGTAGGCCTCCTGCCAATTTCCCAATTTTCCCAATTTTCCCAATTTCCCGCTCCTTTTCTCACGCGCATGAAAGGATTTCATGCCCGTGGCTGCTTATATGTTTTCTTGAGATTTTCAAGCTCTCTGTTGCTGATGTTGAGTTGGGCATTTGAAAGGATGAAGATGTGTCATTTCACATTTCCTGAACCTGATGTTTTTCTGTTAATTGCGAGCTGAACTCGTTCTTTCGTATTTACCAATTTCAATCCACTTCCATGAAGATCATTGTCTCTCATACTCCTGAGATTGATGAAGAGACTGAATCTGTCTCCGGCATAAAAGTCTGTTGCATTCATTGCGCTGTTTCTTTACCAAATCTTCTGAAGACCTCTTCCCACATATCTTTTGTCTTCTTTCCTTGGCTGTAAACCTTATTCGGAATTCTACTCACAACCACATTCACTTCAGTGATGTCAAGTTTGAATGTGTTCTCACTGTCTCTCGCACCAGCGACATATAGCATGTAGAATAGAAGAAGACCCTTCATTGACCCCCACGGAACACTTAAGCTTTCATTGATTATCATGTCAGTCGCTTTCACGATAATGATTGTCTTGAGATGAATGAGGTGCTGTTACGTATATGTAGTAAGATCTCGTCCATCAGGAAGTTATTGACTGTGAATTACTTCAGACTCAAGCTGGATGTTTGTAAATTCATAGGCAAGCTGTGCGTTGTCAGATCTTATCCCAAAATTGCTGGCAGGTGCTAGTCTGAGTTCAAAAACAAGCTCATTATAGAGAGCTTGTGGGAAGAAGACTCCCTGATACTTCAGAATCTCATGATCCAATGGAATCCTATATTTATTCTCATGAACATCACTGAGCTTATTCTCCTTGTCAACTCCTGATTTCCTATCTCCAGCATTGCATCTGATCTTCGAAAGATCAACAGACTAAATAACTTCTCTGAGCATGCTTGCTCTCTCATTCTCAGTCGAGGAGAAGTTTTCATAGAGCTTGAAGAGATCGTAGCCATTGGTGTCTTGCACGATTTCTCCTACAAATTTCACAGTCAACCTGTCAACAGGCGCTCGTGCGTCGTTGTTCACGATATAATTGTTTGCATGACCACTCCGTATCCGTATTCCGTATCCAGGCACAAGGACAACTTCGTCATCAAGGTTTGGAACTGGAACATTGTGTTTCACAGAGAGATGCCCTATTGGGGTTAAGTGTCACTCTGTGAATTACGCGATCAGCCTTGATGCGTTCTTTTTTCAAAATTTTGCTTTTCTCACTGACTTCCATTTAATTAATTAATAATTTATTTCAAATGGATGATTTTGAAGATACTGATCCTCTATTGAAACAATTTTCAAGCATACCTTTTATGTAATAATTCAACTCCAGCGCCATCAGATGAAGAAATTCCAATGACAACAATGAACAGGGGAAAAGAGAAAGGGTCAAAAACCGCCGAAACATCTTTCATTGAAGGTGATACTAACTTTGAATTAGAAGGCATGGGACTCCCTTACCAAAATTATCCTGAGGCAAAGGCTTTGGAACTCAAAGTTTCTTATAGTAAAAGGGGACGGTGGCAGGTAAAGATATTTGGTCAGGGCAAGAGGACATCCCTTGTATGGTGAAGAAAGGTGTAAAAAAAAAAAAGGTTGAATCGATCACTCATGAAACAATTTAAAACCTCACTTGGCCCGGAGCAAGAGAGATTGATTACACAGAAGGATACAGAAATTGAAGAGCTGCAGAAGTCTATTCAGGAGGATCGGGGGATTGCCGAGGATGAGAATGAAGACCAAGCTATAAGAGAAAAGGTAATAGAGCGGAATGTTGCCCTTGACAATGATAGAGAAGAACTTGAAGAAGGTACTTCACAGAGAGTGAGAGTAAGAAACATCCTTAAGAAGTATGGCTTCACAGTTTCAGCTGTTGTCCTGGCAGTTGGCACAACGATCGGAGTTATTATTAGTTTAGTGACACAAAGCCTTCAGTCTGTTGCCAAAGGTCTTACTCTTGGAAGTCAGATTGCGGGAATTCTCCCAGGTCTCTTCCTTACAAAGGATATGTCCTTTTGCCTCATGCTTCGTATTCAGAGCTGTTAGATCAGTGATCAGCTTCCTCGGTCAAAATGCATGGCTTCTGATAATGGGAGTTGCTGTAGTTATGGTCGAGTGATTTCAGAGGAAGAATCGATGAATCAAGAAGGCTGAGACCATTCCAGCTGAAATCAATCCGACCTTCACCATATCATGATTTGTCTCTGTCGCTCGTGCTTCACTTTCCATCTAACCTTGATGGTGACTTCACCTGAACTTCAGTTGAAGTCTTGTTAATTGAATTTGACGGGTGAGAGGCCAGTCTGTTGATCTTTGATAAGCTCCCATTATGTGCCTTACTCCAACTGATTTCGCCTCCAAATTCACTGATTTTGTCTGACTTTCTGATTACATCCTCAACCAAGAAGAGGAACTCACGTTGAGCTCCCTTACTGCTTCCTGATGAACTCAAGATTGATCATCTGACATTTGCTTGTGCACCAAGAATGCAATAAACGAATTCCTCAATTGACTGATTCAGTCTCGCCATCCCAGCTTGCGTCAGACCTTCTGACTTGTCTGCCATGAAGAAGTCAAATTGTCTCTCAACCCTACCGTTGTCATTCGTTGTCAAGTAGATCAGATTGCCTGTGATGGCTTTTCCACCGTCATCGCCGAACTTGTTATAACGACGATAAGAGTTTGAAGTTGCTGATGGTCCAAGATTTGACATAAACGAAAGCAGATCAGACACCGTGATTATCACATTCTCTGAAGCGGAAGTCTGTAACTGGAATTATGCTCCTGATGAAATTCCAAATTGTGCACATATTGGTTTGAACAATGGCGTGTCACAATTGACTCTGAATCCCGCCCATCTCAAAGAGAATCCTTCCGGAGGTGAAGTAGAAGTGAAACGTCAGAAATGACTTGATCTGTTCTGGAACCTTGTCAAATACCTCACAAGATATTCCGTAACCTGTCTTTGCGTACCATACTGCGAAGTTGAGCTGTTGAGGCCAGTAGCTCAACAGAGGCAGAGGCAGATTTGAAGACAAAGAGAGAGAATGACCTCATTGATCCCATTGTTGGAAAAAGAGAACCCGTTTTCAAGATCAATCATTTCAAGCTGATGGAAATGGCGGGAGAAAAAAGCACACTTTACTCACCAAGAGAGAGCTGCAAGAATCACTTGGCATCAAGAATGTTGATAATGAGATCAGATCAAAGCCATACATTTTCATCAGACTCAGAAGCCAAACAATTCACATTCAGAACGTGGAAAGAAGCAATGGATTTCTTCAGAATAAGTGGCAGTCGCCTCGCTGAAGGAATCAAAATAAGCGATTAATTATTGACGCTACTGTGTACTGATTTGAAAGACGCTGAAGCTTTTGTCTTGAAAAATTGATTTTTCAAACATGAAATTTTCAAAAATCTAATTTTTTTATATCTTATAAAAATGGAGTCGTTAAAACGACCAGAGTTCATTGCAGTAGCAAAAAGACTCAGACTCAGAGGTTAAAGCTGCTTAAGAAAGGTTGAATTCATCAATCCCATTTTCAAATGGGTAAGAGGCCCAAGTCATGCTGCGTGGAGCGATGATAGTGCTATTTCGTTAACTTTGATTTTACGCGAGAACGCTGGTCTGAAACTTTGACATAACTGCTATTGGAAGCTACATGCTAATTGCTTTAGCTTTCAAAAAAATTCCAAAATAAAATCTACAGCAAGAAAACTAGTAAATCATAGTTAAGTAATTGCTCACTTAACTGTGGTCTTTTTCTTAAATACCTTCCTCCAGCTTGTGATACTTAAATAGCCTTCTCTTTTTTCTCAGACGTTTCATGCCACACCGACTGTCGAGTCAGAACAGATATTCGGCTCCTGGAATGTGGAAAGGTTTGGTGAACAGGAATTACATTTTTGTCGCACTATGATTTATAGGGATTTTTACAGATGAGCTTTGCGAATTGTTTGAAAAGTTACCTGTTTGAATCACGTATTTACGAGCCAGCGTATAAGCACTTTAATGTCAATGCTGTCCTTCAACTTGCACAATAATAAGTACATTTACCTTGTGAGGTTAACATAGTAAACTTTTCCCTTGAAGCTGACCGCTGTACACTATCTCCTACCATTTTTAATGCTGTGTTACTAAAGAATTTTTATTACCCTTGTGTCTTCAAAGATTGATGCTTCCGCCAGCGAAAAGCATCGCCTAGAGGAAAAGCAGAGAGGGGCTAGAAAGCAAAGGGACCTTGCTGGTCAGGCCTGGATACCAAGGTAGTTTTAATTATTTATTTTGACAGCTTCGTTGTTTTTTTGTTTTGTTTTTTGTTTTGTTTTGTTTTGTTTTGTTTTGTTTTGTTTTGTTTTGTTTTGTTTTGTTTTGTTTTGTTTTGTTTTGTTTTGTTTTGTTTTGTTTTGTTTTTGTCTTTGTTTTGTCCTTTTTCTCTTGTTTTCTTATGAATAGAATTTAGGAACAACAGCATTTGTTTTTTATGGTCGAATGTTAAAGTAACATACATGCATGGACGAGTGAAAGAGTGGGAAAAAATGCCTAAATGTGAAAACGCATGAAAACGTAGACAATTGTACAAAAAGTTTCGTGAGAATGGAGTCTGGTTGAGTGTCATCAGAAAAATACCGCCGACTAATCAGGAAATTGCATTGAATAACCAACTCGTTCATAGGGCAAAAGTAAGATCAAAATTCTTATCATCTAGCTTTACAACTTCTTCGTCTCAATCTGGAGATTCGAGAGTCAGATCAAAAATAGTATGTTCTGAGTCTTTGCGCAGTTTAAGAGACTCAAAGGAGCGTCATTTGAGGCAACATCAGTATGATCAACTCCCGTGGTTAATTAGCGAGACCATCCATTTTTACCCACCTATCCATCAAGATCCTATGGTGGAGTCACTGGTGATTTTGACAATGATCATAAGTTGTAAACTCAGTACTTAGATGATAATAAAAAGTCACCATGAGAGTCTGTCGGTACGGTATCAATGCGCTTATTGTTTTCCAAACTGAAAAATGTATTGCTTCCGTACAGAGCCTCACATTATCCGACAATTGCTGGAAATAACAACCCTCAACCCTGAATCAAGACCTATCATGAAAACTGTCATGGTATAATAGTCACTTTTCTTAAAAGTTCTTTCTTTGTGTTTAGATGGTTTGTGTCTCTGGAAGATGCGGATTCTGGAACATTCTGTTATGTGTACAAAGGAGGTTACTGGAAAGCAAGGTTAAAGGGCCAATTTGTGGACTCACCCTATATATATTGAATAGGCTTTTTCGATGAAAGCTACGAACGGCTTGTATATGGTATTACGCTTTTTAGATATATCTTGGAAAATGTTCCAATTTTTCTCTAGCTGTGGTTACAATGCATGGTTAATACAAACCGAGCATAACAGGAATGAATCTTATCGTATCGAAATTTATTTATAACATTAGATGTAGATTGATAATCATGGTTTTTTATTAATTATGTCGATTCTCTATCTTGCACATGCCAAGAAAAAACAAGAATCTTTTCGGCTTTGTTTTCGCTCGTAGAGGAAAACGTGAAGTTTGGACGTATCCTCAGCCAAGAACTTGTTAGGTGCACTAGTAACTTAGAACAAAGAAAACAAGCAAGTCAAAATGATGAAGCCAAGAAATATGATAGTGACTAAGCAAAGAAAACCATTACAGGTTCTCATATCGAGGTAAACTACCAAAAATAAAGATAATTATACAAACTAAAAGATATCGTACAAGTACATATAGGTACATATATTTACGTCTAAGTGTTTGAGAAAAAATCACGACCCATCACCAAAAGGTTGAATTAAAATTGTAACGCGGTTAAAAGGAAGACAGAGATTGCTCGATGACATGAAAGGCTCTTCTCCTTTCTTAGGTGGACCAGTCACGTGAATGACCTCTTTGTGTCTCGGAACCCCTTTATCATATCTTTCAATTCGTGATTCGTCTTAACAATAAATTTTTAATCACCATTGCTTTCAGTACAACGTTGACACCCCAAATATAATCTCGAAGCAAATGAATGGAACACTTGATCACCACCTCCCTTTTATTTGACGATACAACACATGGATGCGTTTTGCTTTCAGCCAATTTTTTTACGCCTTTGCTGTCACACTCATGAATCCCATGACTGAAGGCGAGTGGGGCAGCCTGAAACTGTGTGGACACACTCTTTATTTATTTTCCAGCCATTTGCACTTAACTTTTGATTCGACCTCCTTAGTCATTTGTGTTTGTTGGATCTTCTGGACCATATCAGTTATTTGCCCCAGTTACACAATTTGTCATATTTCAGTAATTTGGGCCAGGAAGGTCCTTTAGACAATAGAAGTATGTAATTGAAGTGGAGTCTTGTAGACGATATCAGTTTTAGTGCCAGTTAGATGTTTTGAGTTGCCGTCACTTGGAAACATTCACCGCAATGACACCATTCGCCGTCATAATACATCATTCATCGTCGTTTGGCTTCATACGCTATCATTAGTAAACTGTTATCGAATTTCTAGCCTTCTGATTGGCTGAATAGAGCCATGTGAGCTTCTAACCGGGTCAAGGAATTTTTCGGTGAACTGAGAAAACATAATATCCAGCCATCTTGACCTCACGCTTAGTCAGTAACGCAATGAATTTATTTCATGCGGACCCATACAAATCTGGCAAGGTAAAACAGTAAGAAAAAAAGTGCTTTTCCGAGCCCGGAATTTGTCTTACGTATAGGTCAATGGACTTCCATTTCCTTGTAATTTGGTTCAGAAAGTGTTGACTTCAGCACTGATCGCACAAATATATCGTCAAAATCTGTTGTACTTAAGAGTCTGAGCCAATGATAAAAAGAGAGGTATTGGTCAGCGTTCTCATTGTTTTGACGTCTGTCAATTTGATGCCATAAAAACACATCAGTATAGGGGTTTGTAACCAATGCTTGTCGACCTCGGTCACTAGCAAATAAAAAGACGCTGATTAATACCAGCGATCCCGCAATATGCCATGAATATTGGTCAGATGATTCTTCGGTGAAACAGCTGCCACCTCAACATCTTAATGTGAATATCCGCTATAACAAGAATGCACTAGCACTAGCCATTGTATTGAAGGCTTATCACATTTAGGACCAAATGTTACAACATTGGGGCCTCTATTACATTTAGGACATTTATTACATGTAGGCCTTCAACGAAGAATGACCAGGGATGCTTAAGTAAGGCTACGAATGGTTAGGGACGCTTAACTAGGACTAAGAATGGCTACAGATGCTTAAGTACAGCTCAGGATGACTAGGGATGCTTACGTACGGTTCAAAATGACTATGGATGCTTAAGTACGGCTAAAGGTTGCTAGCGATGCTCAAGTAAGGCTAAGATTGGCTAGGAATGCCAAAGTATGGCTGAAGATGACAAGGGATGCTTTAGTACGGCCAAGGAAGATGGCTATTGATGCGGAAGTACCTCTAGGATGGCTATAGATGCAAAAGTACAAGGAATGCTTTAGTATGTGTAAGGGTGGATACTTTACGGCTAGGGATGGTTCGGAATACCTAAGTACGGCCAAAGATGGATAAGAATGCGTAAGTACGGCTAAAAATGGCTAGGGAAGCTAAAGTACCTTTAAAAGATGTGTACGGTTTCTTATGTACGTATAGGATGGCTATGGATGCAAAAGTACTAGGAATGCATAATTATGTGTAAGGGTGGTAAGGGACACTTTACGGCTAGGGATGGTTAGGAATACCTAAGTACGGCCCAAGATGGATGAGAATGCGTAAGTACGGCTAAAAATGGCTAGAGAAGCTATAGTACCTTTAAAAGATGTGTACGGTTTCTTAAGTAAGGCTAAGAATGGATATGAATGCTCAAGAACAGCTAGAAAATTAGTAGTAATGTCGGCCCGACCAGGACGCATTTTATTTACAAGATGAGTTGAATATTAATCATCATGAGTCATGTGACAAAATGTCACACCAGAGTATTTCGTAGGTAGCGCAGGGTGTTATTTGGATGGGAGAAAGTAAGCAAAACAACAGGTTTTTAAATCAAACCATTTTAATACCAAAAAATTTCTTTAATGTCAAGCGGGAAGTGTACTCTTCGCTAGTGTGCAGCGTCCGGCACATCACAAAGAGAAAAAAATATGCATTCGTGAAGTTCTCACGAATCAGTCAACATGGCAAATGGATATGTTTTAAAGGTGTGAGGATCAACCACACGTTTCCCGTACACCAATTGGTACTTTTTGTTGTGCTCCACGATAGAAATAGTATAGTTCTTAGAATTTCTGACATTTTCGTACATCTTTTTGGCGTTTCTCTTTCAGAGGGTCTTTTGTCTCATCCAACGCATTTTGTCACTCCACCGTTTCACTTTGCAAAGTTTGACCTTTTCACTGATGCAATTTCAGCAAACTACAAGCATTCCTCTCCGTGGATACAAGTCCGCTCTTTTCTTTTAGCGATACACGGAAACGTTCCTTACACTTAAGGGTCCGCTACTACGCAAATTCCGATAGCTGTTTTCAACAGACTAGACCCCTCGTTAGTGGCGATGTTCCCTCTAACCCTGGTCCTGTTACGAATGCTTGCAGATGTTCCGTTTGCTCCAAGACCGTCGCGCGGAATCACCGAGCTGTAAATTATGACCAGTGTCATAAGTGATACCACATTAAGTGTGGACAAGTCAAGCCGAGGGATAATAAAGTTTTTCAAAACATGGCTTCCTTTGACTAGGTCTCTCCTTCCTGTATTAAGATAGGGCTAACTCTCAACGATTCTCGCCTCCATGTTCCGTTAACATCCAGGAGCCCGTAGATCCATTGCGTTCCCTTCGACAATTGGTGGGAGGTTAAAATCTTAAAATCGGCCACTTAAACATCAATAGCCTGGTTAACAAATTTCCGGAAGTCCAACTATTATCGGAGGTTACCAATTTTGATATTCTTGGCATTACGAAGACCCGCCTAAATGAGAGCATAACAGAAAATTGGGTCAGGATTCCCGGCTTCAATCTAGTGAGAAATGACCGTGACAACCATGGTGGTGGTGTCTTAATCTATTACAAAGAAAGTCTTCTTGTTCCTCAAGTTACCACGTGGGACCACCCTAACTTGGAAGCCCCTTGGTTAAATGTTACCGTGAGATCACAGTCTTTTCTAGTTGGCTGTATTCATAGACCTTCAAGTGACTGTTCCTTCTTCGATGTTTTCAGAAATCGAATTACTGAGATTTGTATGAAAATAAAAAATATTATTTTAGCGACTTTAACTGTGACATGACTCCCGGCTTAGAGTCAAATAAGTCTCATTTGGGGAGACGTTACAGAAGGATTTTGTGCAGCTACGATCTGAAGAACATGAACGTTTGATTCGAAATCTCTCATTGATCTCATTTTAACGAGTCAGCTAGCGAAAGTTCAAACGTCTGGTTCCATTGACTTGGAAATATCTCACCACCATTTGAGTTTTGCTGTTTTTAAAGTGGCTAGGAGTAACCCTTAGCCACTGGTGATTTCGACAAAGAAATATAAACAAGTGGATAAAAAACAACTTAATACAGATTTTGAACATGCTGCTTGGCATCTTGTGAGTTTGTTTGATGATATCGATGATTGCCCCTTCATCTGGAACTACTTATACAACGACATTATAGATCACCATCTACCATCCAGAAAAGCAAAGGTCAGATCTAAATACTTTCTGTGGATTGATTCTTCCATTAGGAAAGGAATGAACAAAAGATTTAAGCTCTTAAACGAGGCCAAAACCTCTGGAGATCCAGTGAAATGGAGCCAGGATAGAAAAAAAGAAATGAGGTAAAAATTTTGGTTAAAGATGGCCGAAGCAGCTTATTGGAATGATCAATTTAACAAATCAACCAACCCTAAAGAATTTTGGAAGCTTACATACTAGGTGCTAAGAAAAAACAAAGTTACCAACTTTGGCCCAGTTATGGATTACAACAACAACAAACTATTAACTGATAATTTAGTGTAAGCAGAGCATCTCAACGATTTTTTTCATTATTGTCACTAAAAACCTCACAACAGAGTTAAATCCTCTAGACAAGTCAACCTTATTTATCTTGAAGAAAGATGTGTTTTCGTCTCGTCACGAGCGTGGGACAAAGAAAATATTCTAGGTCCCCATGAGGAATCGAACCTCAGACCTTCGGATTTGCGCTCCGATGTTCTAGCACTGAGCCACAGAGAATCTTCGGTGAGCGAGGTCTATAAGAAAGTTCACATGACTTTCTTTGTCCCACGCTCGTGGTACAGTATGCAGGACGCGTGTCATATGAACTTCGTAATAGACCTCGCTCACCGAAGAGTCTCTGTGGCTCAGTGCTAGAACATCGGAGCGCAAATCCGAAGGTCTGAGGTTCGATTCCTCATGGGGACTTAAAATATTTCTTTGTCCCACGCTTGTGACAAGACGAAAACACATCTTTCTTAATTCTTCACCGAGCTCAAAACTTACCATCTCTACTATTTCTATCTAAAAACATTACGCTATCGACATTACTGATCCTAGCAGTATGCAGGACACGTGTCATATGAACTTCGTAATAGACCTCGCTCACCGAGGAGTCTCTGTGGCTCAGTGCTAGAACATCGGAGCGCAAATCCGAAGGTCTGAGGTTCGATTCCTGATGGGGACCTAGAATATTTTCTTTGTCCCACGGTCGTGACGAGACGAAAACACATCTCTCATAATTCTTCACCGAGCTCAAAACTCACCATCTCTACTATTTCTATTTATCTTTGTTACAAGGATTACTCCCACTAAAGATTGCACAGATATAAATTGGGAACTTGTCACGAGAAATATCCAGAAGGCATCAAACCCTAAGAATGCTACGGTTCCAGATTTGGTCTCATCCAGGGACCTTTTCTTTGTATCCTCTGAATTAGATACCTACAGCTTACTTCCACTTTGTAAG